AAACAACCATCGAAGGGGCTCTTCAACTGTCAAAGAAACACTCTCCGAGGCACCTTGCCGTTTTCCACCTTTCGTTAACCCCAAACAAATGACAGCTGGACCTTGTGCAGTATGAATGCTCACGTCTGACGACTTCAAGTTCAGAATCTCTCCCGTACGCAGAGTCGCATAGAACCCTACGAGGAGGGATATGGCAAACAAATACTCTTGCTTAAACAAGGCAAATCCAACCATCATATGAAGGGCTTCTTCCGGAAGGGGTGGTGCACGGTTTGGCACCTCATTCATACTCCATGCTTTCAACAGCCTCCATGTACCTCGGAGGTTTCCTTTCACCTGCGGTTGGGCGTCTTGAAGGGCTGCAACCGTGTCACTGGCTTGAGCACGTCCATATCCCTCACTCCATAAATGCTCTATGTACTGCTGTAGAAGGACATCTAAACCTGAGTGAGAAACAGGGGCCTGACGCTGCTCTTCCCGAAGGAACGCCCAAAAACCTTCCAGTGCTTTGTTGTACCGTTCACGGGTTCGGGGCTGAACTGTAAGTGATTGTAAACTTCCCAATGCTGCACCCTGTCTCTTTCGCTCTTCCCTACTACCTCCTTCAATCAACACTTTGCCTACTTTCCCCATTTCCTTCGGACGGGTCTCCGGCTGGGAGCATCAGCCGGGTTCTGGGAAGTATGCACATATGCCCAATGCACATATGCCCAATGGGCTTGATTTCCGGAGGCGAGAAGAAGAGCGTTGATTTTCATCAGAGTCCTACGCAATTTGCGGCTGCTGGAGCGGTCTCTTGCGAGGCTATGCAAGCATACAAGGGAATCTACCAGATGCACAAACCTACAGTTCAACCAACTTTTTCCCAATGCGCCAACGCAATGTAGTATAAACTGCACGAAGCTCGAGACTGTTGATGTGTTCATGCCTGCCACTCCAACTCCACCCACAAATTGTACGCCATTGCCAGAGGTTAGCTGGAATGCTTGCTCGGAGTCGGTGGTATCGCACAGGGTCCTCTGTTTGAGCCTGCAGGAGAATGTCTTCTCCCTTGAGGCTAGCCATCCCGGCTAATTTCTGCACCAACATGGTCTCGTGCTCTTCTTCCTGGCGACGCGGGGGTCGCATGAATGGGCACAGCAAGAAAATTTGAAGTCCTTGTCCACCACCTGGGGAGCACTGCTGCACCACCTGCCTTAAAGTCAAGGACGGTCCAAGACCCAACACGCCAGACAGCTGGCTTAACAGCCAGGCGATGACGAAGACGTTCCAACTGTTCCCGATCAATGTCAACCGTTCATCTTGCCGCGCCTGAGTTTTTTGCTCTCCCTTGGGGAAGCATGCAACTGAGTATCCTTTGGGGAAGCCCATCAATACCTCCCTTTCCTCGCAACTGAGGAGGCGAGTGTTCCGATGTTTGTCTGCGACTCTGTACTTGAACTGATATTGGTAAGGCGGGAACCGGTGCAAATCCTCTTCCCAATCCTGGAGCTCTCCCGGAGTGCAGTGCGCCTTGCCTGCTGGCTTCCATCCTGGATGAACTCGAGGTCGAGAGGTTGTAAATGTAGGAAATGGGTCATCAGAGCATTTTTCCCAACCACCTTCTAGGAACTGGGACACATTACATTGTACTCACACCCTAGCTTCACTTCCGTGATCGCCTCCCATTCAACCCCGCGGAGACTTGCACCCCGACTCCTTCTCTGACCTCCCAAGTCGGCCAGAAGAGACGAGGCCGCCGACATCCACAGATATTCACTGGGTCGATCAACAAGGGGCAGGAGCCGACTGACCTACTCATCACTGCGCGGTCCGCTGAATCCATAGAAGCCACGCTCTCCATCAACCTGTGGACTTGCGCCCATGGGAAAGACTGCGCGAGAAGCTGGTGAATCCTCTCGACGTGAGTGAAAAGGCAACTTCTGTGGTCCCGTAGGGCTCCTCGTCTGTCCTACCTGAGAGAATTGACATGCCCATGTCTTCACCATCTCGGCATCAACTGCGGCGACGTCCTCGACAAAGGTTGCGCTAGCAAAACGGCTCTCGACCACCCGCCGAGCTGGAGCATGCTTTTCAACACTGATGTGACCTGCAACGGGCAATCCAATGGCGTCCGCTGCAACCCTCAGGGCTCCCGTCCCATCGCCGATGGTAAGAACGCTTGTCACCTCATCTGGCTCCACAATATCCCCCCCGAACAGGCTGATTTGCAGCCATGCACCCCAAGGAGGAGAGCCCTTTGCTCGCAGTGATCCCCCCTCCCGTAGTGGATGCATCACTTGCTGTTACAACCCCAGAGAAAACGCTCCGGAAGTTCATACGAGCGAGCGGCGTTAGCAGACAGAAACGTGCGATCTCACTGCGCACCTTCCATGGAATAGTCTGTACTCTAGGCCCCCCCTCGAAGCTTGTAATGAACTCCCAAATGGCATTCAAAGTGCCCAGGAGCGGTCGCCTGAACATTGCCATGTACACTAGTCCACCAGCTACTACCTGCGCCTGCTTCTGTGTGCACCGCTCTCCCCTCAACAGGAGTACACCCAGTTGCACGTACTTCATGATTTTCTCAACCCGTGGTCTAGCACAACCCTCTTCACCATCCACAAGGGCTCCTTGTACATCTGCCTGTGCCTGTCTCTCTACTTCCTTCTTGGGATGCCTAGGGATGGCTAACTCCTCATAGACCTTTCTCAGGGACTTTGCAAACGGTGCCACGCTTCCACAAACGATGTCAGCCATGTCTTTGTTGGCTCGCTCCAAACAAAAGGTCAAAATTATCTAAATAGACCCTGTGCCTGAGCCTCTTGATGTGAATGAGGTCCTCGCTCTGTGGGCTGTTGCTGCATCCGGCGGGGCAGAGGTGACCTCGAATAACACGGTCGTCTTCTGCAGTCAACCACTTCAGAAGCTGCTCGTCTGGCGTTCCGCTGACTCTGAAAGTCACCTCTGTCTGCCCTGCCTTGATGGCCAATCCCACCAGCTCTGCCGCGGCCTCGATCGGCTTGTCCCAATAGAGCGCCTCTAGATGGAACTTCTTTCCCGGCAGGTCGGCTATAGGCACCGTCCCGGCCTCCACCCATGCTCCTCCTGTCTTGACCAGCTTCAACGCGGGCGGCTGGTCTTCTCTTCGGGGCCATTCAGGACCTGCTCACCACCTCTTCTTGTAGGCAAGGTATTCCTTGAAGTCCAACTGTCGACCGGCCTGGCTGAAGAGGAGTAACCACCACGTGCACGCTCAACCTCGTCTCTATGCTGGCTCGAGCTTTTGTCACGCTCCCTTCTCTCCTCCTCTTCTTCGCTCCTTCTTCGCCGCCTGGACCGAGATCTCGTCCTCCTTGATCGCTTCCGATCTTTGTAAGATCCTGAACGAGGAGAGACAGACCGTCGTCCCTCCCTTTCGTCCAGATCTGCTAACCCTTCCTCTGTTCCAACCTCTGCTTCGCTGAACTCGTTCTCAACCTCACCAGTCCCTGTGTTCTCCTGGCCTGTCGGGTTCTCAGGCTTCACAGAACACGCTGCCTTGGGCGCGGTTGAACGAAGAGCTTTCTCCTCTGGATTGAAGGCGCTGTCCTCACTGGCTTCCTTCTCCTCACGAGGTGCTTCTGCTTCTTCTCGCCTCTTATGCCTTGAGCCTCGTCGTTCACGATGGGATTTTTCTTTCTTCTCTTTTGGTGTCCTCTCCGACTCTCTCTTGCCACCTGATGCCTTGTCCTTCTCCTCTTTCACTTCGGTCTCTGTTGAGGGCTGGCCACCTCCTCTGGCCGGGAAACTCCTAGATCGCCCTCGCTCTTGACCTCCCCTCGAGCCTCCCCTGGGCTCAGGAGTGCTGAAGCTGCCGCTGCCGCTCCAGGTCGATGCCCGTGTTCTCCGCCTCGGGCTTCAGCAAAATCTGAGACTTCGCCGACTGTCACACGAAGTCTTTCGGCCGTGTGACCCACGTATCCGGGCACAAAAGAGTGGTCTCTAATGTGCCGGAAAAGACGCTGCAAGGTCACGCACACGCCGCAACTGCAGCGTGCGCTGTGACCCCACGGCGTCACCATGGGATCTGAGCCGGAGCTGCGTCGGTGCACCTCTTTGGGGAACCTCGCCTTTACTTACGGGGGCGACACAGCATGTGGAATCTTCTCTGCAAAGACATTCTCTGAGGGATAGAACTAGGAATGTCGCGGTCCTCCAAGGTCACAAAGCCTCGAGCCTTTTGTCGAACGCTGGTGGCGTGACGGAAGCCAATGAAACACATGAGCCCCAGAGTGACCAATGGTGTCACCACTCGCCAGAAGAACCGCCGGGAGCCTGCAGGTGCCACAGGCACGCCAGGCACCCCAGACACCTCGTTGTCCAGGAGCCCTTCCTGAGCAGCCGAAGTTGACAAACAAGACATACAACGGTAAACTGGTGTTCATTTAGACTCAGAATGTTTTTTGGTTTTGCGAATGACCTGCTGGACAAGTTGTCTCTCTTGTGTTGGAGACAATGTGAATACTTTTGGCATTTGAGCTCCGACTTCTCCATTTCGCGGGTAGTGCAAGGAGACTTTCCCACTTTTTTCTACAGAAGACAACTCGATCCCCAGATCATCTCCCAAATGACCCTGGCATCAAGTCCATCAGATCCATTTGACGATACAGAAAGACCTGTGACCTGCGATGCTTGGACTAAAGAGGAGTGACCCAAAACAAATTCAGCAAGAAACAGTATCAATATGCTCTCTATGAAAGAAACATTGGTGCATAATGTTCAGTGTTAACCGCAAAGTGCGTGATGTACCTCAGCCAGCGTAAGTCAATGACTTGGGGGGGAAGGGGGGCAATGCAGGTTAATGAACTGCGTACACAGGGTCCAGGTCCGAAAAGCTCTCAGCCATTCTGCGAGATTCCGGGATGACTTGGCAGGTCAACTTGAACCAACTAGCTGCGGCTTGCAATGGGTCACACAATCTTGAGAACGTCTCCTGTATGGTTGAACTGTTCCAGCTTACAGCAGGCAAGCAGCATTGCCTCTCCGTTGTGGCATGGAACCACTTCATCAGCTGTTCCATGCATGATGGCTACCTCAGCAGCATTACAGCTTCACAGCTTTGCTTGCACTGCTGGACTTTTCGAGGAGTCACGAGCCATGTACGAAGATGGAGGAGTTACAGAGGCCCGTTTCTGCTCGCTTCAAGTAGGTGACCTCACCTGCGACATCGGAGTACTGAGCTCCAGCACTGGGGCCTTGATCTTCCCAATCTTCTCGTAGTTTCTGAAGATGTCTAAGTAGTAGCCTTGCCAAAGCTGCTTAGCTCGTCTTTCTGTCGGTCCACCAGTGGCAAAACAAGTGGCAAATGTGCACCCATCCAACCACAAATTCACACGTGCCCATGGAAGAACAGAACATTGGAAACATGTGAGGAAGTCTTGTTTTGATGTATCGTCGAGGTGCTTGGCTTACCTCCACAACTCCTTTTCACTCAAAGTTGGCGGTGTCAATGGGAACCCCTGTGTTTTGGGCATGTCTCAAAGCACCTCAATTTTGCCAAGCAAGGAGAAATTGACGCTCTAAATGCGAAAAAATATATATTCAAAAAAGGAAATGCTTTAAGCTTTGAGCAATGAGTAGAGTTTTTGCTTTGTGAAGAGGTGCAAAGAACAGTTCCCAGCATTCTTGGGTGGATAGAGATGTCCAAGACTGGAGGCAAGAACAGGTTGCTAGGGGTGCTCTCCAGCTGCAACATTTTTCTGACCCAGCTCACCAACTGGGACAGAACTTGCAGCCGAGGTTCCAATGAAGGATACAGTGTTGCCCATCACCTCAGACCCACCAGTGATGCATCTGACAGACTTGAGCAATCCAAAGGATGGGTCTTGACTTTGCACATGCTTTGCACCGGTCTAGGTTCAAGAGTACGCAGCGACATTAACACCCCTCAACAGGCAGACGCCTGGTCAAAGCAATCCATCCGCCATGAACCGAGTGTTGTGACACAGAAGGTGTTGCAGCATTGGTTGGGGCCAAATCTTGGGCGCCAGCCGCACGAGCACCACCTCGGTTTCTCACAAATGTGCGGTGGGTGATGCATGTTTGGAGCAAAACGGTAGCCACTTACCCCAAAAGAGATGAAAGAAAATTTGGCAAGGCCTCCTTTATTAAAGGCACCCTCCAAAGGACCCCATTGAAGAGGGCCTTATCTTCAGACTTGGACTCCTCAAGCTACTGAAACTGCCAAAAGGCGTTTGTGTGCGACCCTCGCGAGACAATCCCCGAACCCCACGACGTGACAAGAGCAGCTTGCATCCTTCTCCTTTTGGTGACATGTCTCAAACGCCAAACAGCACAACACCTCAACCAAAAGGACACTGAATTCATATGGAGGAGAAAGACTGCACAATCTCTGAGCACATGACTTTCAAGGGGAGATTGCAAAATGACTCCAGCCGCATCCAGCGGAGAGTGATCTGTTCCCTGGAAAGCTGGACTGAAGCCCATTACTGCCATGACCCGAGTTCGCATCAAAAGCTTGGAGTTCGCATCCCTCTCATGTCTGACAAGGCCAAAGTAACGCCTCACGCTCCTCAAACTTGTCGAACAGCACTCCAAAGCCATTGTGAAAGCATCTTGCTGAAGTGCTTCAGAAGTATTGCTATCTCATTAAAGACTAGTAGTATCATTCTGGAGATTCTGGTACTGTTCCTATTCAGGTTGACACCACTCTCAGTATCCCATTGGCCCCTTGGCCCAAAAAAGACACTTCAATCAGAATCTCATTCTCACCGCCTCAACGCGCTCCCGGGAGGCTAGATCGACGCTGGGCCCGGAACCTTTGAAGTGTCCACTGCAATCTTTTGAAGTCAGAAGTACATGGTAAAGAAAAAAATTGGTAGACATGGCCATATCGAATGAATGATCTTCAACATTCCAGAATCTGATAAGCTTTACTTACAGTCCAAGCAAAACATATATATACTGTAGAACTTGCATACGGCCAAAACGAGTTTTACACAGAGAGAAGCCGGTGCCTTCTTGCTCGAAAGCTCAAAAAAAACGAAGGAAAAAAATATGAATGAAGAAGCTTCAAAGAAAATGCATGATGGGTTCTGGACCAATGGAGCGGCCAAAAATCACCTCGAATCAAGAAAACGACCAGAACCTGCGCGAAACAAGACATACCTGCAAACTCCGAAATCTGCTGCACTGCAAACTCCAAATTCTGCTGGGCCGCTGTGAAGAGTCAAAAGTGCTGGAATGGGTTGGATGGCAGGTTTAGCATTGGAAACAGACTCTTGCGCTGGTCTCTGTCCAAATCTGCAGGCCCAGGCGATTCTGCGTGGGTGGATCTTTTGATCCTCCACCAAGTATTTCCAGGCCTCGAGACAGTGAGCTCGAAGCCGGTGAGAACAGCCACCCTTGAGGGATCCCAAGATCCATGACATTCAAAAGCTCCAGCTCTATATTATATAAACAATTCTTAGGAAAAGATCTGCATAGAGTTGCCTTGCTTGGGCTGTCTATCCGAGGCTTGCACTGCGTCTATGCTGTGCAGGCAACCAGCCTCTAGCTTCAGGACATTGGATGTTACAAAACTAAAATCGAATCATTGGGAGATCTGGCAGCCAGGCAAGCCAGAACCTTCACACTGCACACTGAACTTCACCGAGCCTGAACCCTGTTTCTAGTGGGTTTCTCTGATAGTGTCGTTGCAAATGATCATGTCCTTGCAAAAAGCCCTCATAGGAAAAAGAGTTTGGAGGAAAAAAACATACAAACAAACTTGACGGACTTCAAGGATTCTAAGGTGTCAACAGTCACTAGCACCTTCCATGGGTAGGTCTGGCCTCCGAGGGAGTTTTACCCTCCAAGCGTGAAGTTGAATAGCCCACATACTCATAGCTGAGGACGTCGGAGCCTGAGGACAATTCAAGTTCTGTGCTCGGTGTCAGTGGAATCGCGACTCTTAGATTGTGAACACCTTGGACAACAAAAAGAGCCTCCCCCGGACATGCCTGTAAAGTGTGCAAGTGCGTCAATGTAGTCCACGTGCAGGCCCAGATCCTCATGCTGACAATGTCTAAAGATAAATCACTGCTATTGACATTGTCGACACTCCCTGCCTCGGCGTTGCCGTGACTGTAAAGGATAGTGGGCGGAGGTGTTGACAAAAACGCCGTTGTAGATCCTGAAAGCATCGCCAGCGGCAGAGCCCTGACTGCCTTTGTTTTCACAGAACCTCTTCACAGTCAACAAAGTTTTTTCTTAATTTGCATCCACAACAGCAATTGTCATTTGGATTTACGGACAAAGCCAACTTCCAAAGATGTCAAACCTCCTAGAGGTCGGACATTTTGCAGGTCGATCCCTTCCGCTTTTCGATTTGGAATCAATCTGCTCAAAGCGCTAAATCTAAGGTGCAGTGTGATAATGATTGAGAGTGAAAAGAACCCAGCTTTGGACCAGTCTGACAGCCCTCAATGGCTGCCCAAGGGGGGACTCGCTGAGGGCCTCTGGTTTTACCCCAAAGACCAGTAGCACAGCCGCCGCATCTGGGATCAGGGCGGCTCGCCCTCACATGGCAAGCAGGGATTCGTCCGTCATTCTTGGTCTTCAACCAGACCAGATCCGGCCTCCGGGTGCCGACGCGGCAGTCTGGAGTTCTGACCCTCCGGTCTCCAAACAGCATCTCCACATCAAATGTGTCGAAAATATTATTACAAAAGAAAAGTGGAAGTGCGCACCGCACCTTTTGCACCCAACCCTTCACATCATGCCAAGCTTGCATGATGGTTCAGGTCTTGTGTTTCTGAATGATTCTCTCTGCAAGAATTACATTGATCAGTGTTATTGCCTGGCCCATGGTTGATCTTCAAGGGAAAATGAGAACTCTTTGTGTAATCGGCTCTGACAAACTTGGCCACTGGTCAAGCTTGGATCTGAAATGTTCTTTCCGTATCCACTCCCTTCTGCTGGAAGCTTGAACAACCAAAGGTACTTAGGATTGAAGAGTCAAAGTCGCAACAAGTACAAGGTCAGCAGCAAGTTATATAAGTTGTTGCACTCAAATTTGAAGATCAAACCTTCCCCTTGAAGCAACGGGAACCAGCCTCGGCAGGAGTTCTTCCTGGTGCAAATGTCAAAAAGGAAAGAAGAAGGCAAAACCTAGGAGACAAACATAACATATGTTCAAGTTGAATGTATACGGTAACCAGTTTCTCTGCCTGTGTCTTTTTAAATCTACTACCTATTTCCGAGTCCAACCAAGTGCCTCACGGCTCACACCCTCTGAAACACATCCAAGAACCAATGGGTCCGTCTTCAATTGTCTTCTGTGGGTGGCGTCCCCAATCAGATGCCACTTTGTTGAGCTGTTGTTTTGGTAGTGGCCTTGGAAAAAACATTTTTTAAAAATTAAACATGGCTCCTCATAGAATCGTCTGTCCAACTGTGGAGCTGGGAATGCCACTGCACTGATTGCACCTGGGTGGCGAACCACTAGCCTTGAAAAATTTGAGTGTAATAGTTTCCAAGGCCCATGCTTCCCATTGCAGCAAAAGTTTGGGCGTCGCAACTGAAACGTGTTAAGTCGGCTTTAAATTTTTGCACGGGTAGAACAATGTCGAATCTCATACAGTAAATGTTCAATGCTGTATGAATCCAAGTGGTTGTGACGTGCGCCTGTACTATGCAAATGCAAAGTAATTACCTTCAGTCTGCGTTGTCCTGTGAACCACTTTTGCGATTTGAACGGTTTTGCCGGGCCTAGCACAAACTGGGAAACAGCACGGATAATATACATATATATGTTGAAGTCATGATTTATGGAATAAAAATCCAATCGATTTCTGTCAAACGAAACAACTTCTTCCGACACAAAAATATATACTGTGCATGTAGTTCTTGTTACAAACCAAAAAATATGCGACGGTTTTTTGTTTGCAGACTTGCAGACTGTATGGTCAGCACATTTTCTGGGTTTGCAAATCTCTGCGTTTTTTGTTCCACTGCAGTTTTTGTTCACTGTGGTGTGGCTTGAATCTCGGTTTTTTGCCTGCAAAAAACAATGTCCAGTGATTATTGCGAAATCTTTGTACAATCCCCACCAAAAACATAAAAGTTGGTTGCCTTCGGACGAATGTATTCTCAACAAAATATCCCATGTTTGGGCACCTTTTTTCACAGGCAGCTGCATGTCGTGTCGTCTCATTCAACATGTCAAACCAAAAATCAGCGTCACCGCTGCGATTTTTTGCAAACGCTCAAACCACAAGTCGCAAGTTCCAAAACTACTAACTGTCAGGTTTGACACTTCCTGCATCTTTACATTGGTTTTCATGAAAACAGATGCATGGCGCAAACCAGACCTTTTCAGGTTTTTCTCAAAACAAATGTTTGCTGTCCATGTGATGTGTGAACCGATTTTGACAGGCTTAAGACATGTTCCTTTGGCACTCACTGTCCTTGAAACGTTGCTGAGTTTGCAAAGTGAAAGCCGACCCACCGATTTTGCTGGTCTTGGACCAAAAGCGTTTGATGCATTTCCAAGGTTTGTGCGCATCATCCAGAATGTTCCGCGGCAGAGTAGAAGTTTTCAACTGGCAACACAATGGGCCATTGTGCAAAAGGGTGGCACCCCGCCTGTACCACATCAAGAAATGATGTTTCACAAACTCTTTAGAACAATGCATGCAATGTGAACAACGTTTCTCGTTGTCTCACTGCAGTTCGTGGCTCTGTTGCAGAGTTTGTCAATGCTTGTTTGGTGTCTCATTTATGAATTCACAAGAAACTCTTCACAAAGCTCAGGCTTTCTTTTCACGCGGGGGATGTCACGGTCATTGTCCCCCATGTGGTTTCCGTGGCATCGAAAGCACTTTCCAACAAAGACCTTTAGGTCAGCGAACTGTCTGGAAGCTAGCGAAGATCTGTCAAGATCTGTCAAAAGCAAAGCGTGTTCACACTGCCTAGAAGGATAGTCGCTAATATTAGCTTCAGTCGGGACTCTTGCGAACCAGGCCTTTGATTTGCAAGCGGTTTCGATTTCTAGGTGATATTGTATTGGCGCTCCGGCCCATGGTCCCGTTCCACAAGCTCGAATGAGTGCAAAACGAACACTGTCGTTGTCGCCAACCACACGGTCAGGTTTTGTCGGAGCCTTTGTCTCCAGTAAGCAAATGCAAGAACGGTTTCGACAAGTTCAAGCTCATAGATGATTGTTTCTTTCGAGCTGGCACCAAAAAGTTCGCATTCATCAGAGCTCAAAGCTATGCCAAACCATTCAACAACCTTGGCCTGGTCATCCACAAGCACCGCCCCGAGCCCGCCTGCCTTGGTGTCAGAAGCGTAAGCAGCATCAGTGTACACATACCACTGCACCAGCTCGCCATCGCTGACATGCATGGGTCGGTCACTTTCAAGACGAGCTTTCATTGCGAATAGAGCCAGTTTTGTGTCCGCCCCAAGCTCATCCTGTCTCGAGTATGCATGCTCTATCAAATTCTTCAAGGTCAGTTTTCCCAGCCGCCCATGTATGAAGCTGTCGGCAAAGCCCAGTGCCCCGGAGCACCAAAGTTTCCTGCTTTGTCAGACTGCCTCTTTGCACAGCATCGGATATGGCTGCGACAAGATCTTGTTTCCGCTGTGTTGTTTTCGAGACAAGCATGAGGTGCTGTTCCGACTTGCTGAAGTCAATCGGGACAACATCACAAAATCGTCATAGAAATTGGTGTTGGCCAAATAGAGCCCTCTGGCCGCCAATGAATGCAGCATCCGAGCCAGGCGGAGGAAGCAGTAAACTGAGTGTGTAGCTCCAAAGGGCAACGTGACCAACTGGTAGGTCTCCGCACAGCCCTTAGTGTGGTTGTACACGCTGAAGTAAGCGTACTTCAAATGTTCTGCGCGTATAGGGACCTGCCGATGAGCACTTTTGAGGTCGAATGTCTTACCTACCAATGTACTGTCAAGACCCCTGTTCTTGCAGCTGCGAAAGTGCTTCTGGACTGTGGCGCCCAGGGGAGATCTATTTTGCAATGCGTCAAACAGGAGTCATTGACCCCACTGATGGAAAAGTCGTCGATCATCCTGGTCTTATTCGACTGAGCGAGGGGAAACCTTCTCGAGATCACAGCACCTGCTGGCAGTTCATGGAGTTTATAAGGGCCTCTGGCCCAGCCCTTTGCAAGCTCCTCTTGAGTCTCTGACAGCATGCGTTGATCCAGGTCAGCATCCCCAGATGAAGTCGTCATAGCAAAGAACTGCTTGGTTGCTTCTGTTCGCTCCGTATTCAAGCTGCTCAACTGTCATCAAACATGGCTTGAAATGTTGCTCAAAAATTCCACACTGTTCAATTTCACCTGCCAAAGTGGCTCCCGTCCTCAAAAATTGTTGGGCATCGATATCCTCGTATTGGACGCTGTCCAGCATCTCTTGAGTCAAAAGCAACCTTTTGCCAGCAGTGTTTTTCTGAACATGGTCGGGTCTTTGAGCACGATCTAGCTTTTCTTGCACCTCCAATTCACTTGCTCTTTTGAGCCACTGTTTGCACCAATCCATTCTACTCTTCACCAGTTGTTGATCTGTCCACACCAAGTGTCTCTCGAGCGCAATGTCAAGATCTTCTGGAATGCCCATGTCTATCAAGGCAGGATGTCCCAACTTGCAAGCTTTCTTAAGAAAATTTTCAGGTGTCGATGGAAGACCAAAAACAGCCGTGAAAGGAAAATGAGCCTCGTGCACCTCCAATGCCTCAGAATCTTGGCCACTCCCCCTTGATCGGGATTCGGAGGAGTTGAAAAACCGAAGAAGACGTGCTTTGCTTGGAATTTCAAGTGGCTGCAAACTGGGCGCATGAGGTCAAAAACCCATTGCGTATCTATCTTTTAAAGAACGGAGGAGCTGCTGCCTTAAGGAAGAGAGAATTGTCTGGCAGGCAACAGCCAAGGCTGGGGAGCGTTCGAGGCCTTACGCTTTGCGCCATCAGGCGGGCCTTTGGCCGGGCGTTGCATCTTGCTTGGTTGATGATTCGATGGTGGGGCAAGTTGCCTGAGCACACTAAGGAGCTCTCTTACCAGACCCAGAGGGAAAGCTCGAGAAGTGGCTGCTTCTCATGATTGTAGATAAGTTCGCATCGGTTCGGACCGATGGAGACAGGCAAAGTCATGTCAGCAGGATTGCCTGTATTGCTGTCTATGTCACTATAAGTTTGCCTATGAGCTTCGAGCCAATTGCCTGCAAAGCACGCGCAACCAGTTGGTAAGTGCGAAAGGCTCCATAGAGTAGACAGTATGTAAGAAAGGACGCCAAACACGTCAGGAGGATGAACTACCAGCATCTATGGGCACCTACTAGACAGCGCGCCGAACACCACGTCTGGTAAGGGGGAAAGAGAAGACAGCTCAGGTGACATTACACAGCACATCTTCCTTTTCTGACAGCGTCGCAGCGCAGCATTGCCAAACGTTAGGGAGATTGTCTCCCTTACGGGATCTGCTCAAGGGCATCTGCCAAGGTTTCCATTTCTGTGCAGATTTCATGACACGCCCGCACTCCACATTGATGGGCATGACTGTTGCCTGCCAGCGAGTTGTTCTGCAGAATGTGTAGTAGTGTGTGGATTTCTTGCCTAATATTGGTCACTCTGCGCAGTGCCTCTTGGACTAGGCTCGGGAAAGGGAGCTGATGGGACACCCTCTCCTGCCCCTGGAAGTGGGGGCGGCTGCGCTCTTCCCTAGCTGGTGGTCGTGCAGCCTGTGATGCATAGACCCCGCACTGCTGCGTCGGTTCTTCTTTGAAAATACAGAAAACAGGGGGCTGAGGCAGTACTTGCGAATAGGCTGGCTGTGGCGAGATGTGATTGGCAGCTCTACGCTTGGCCGGAGGCGGCGCAGCCTGCAGCGTCAGGTGTTCCAGCGAGTGGAAGTTGAAGATCTGGATTGGGCTGCCATTTTCATATTCCCAGTCAAGGTGCTCCCGAACGCACGGTGCAACATTGCTCGGGATCTCCCACTGCAGCAAAAAACGGTAGACCTTTGCTCGAATTTCAGAGTTGGATCCATGTAGGATGAAGCCCTCTTGTGTGATATGCGGGTCATCCGCAAAGGGCCACAGGGTAAGGCCACTGGGCATATCCACGCTGCATTGGGCGAGGACATCGGGGATCCGACGAAGTGGCCAAGCAGGAATATCCCCTAGCCTTGGTCGCACTTGTGGCCGCAGACCGCTAGCTGCAACAAGACAGAGAGGAAAGGTGAGCTGCTGCACAGTGATATGTAACCGGACGAGGCTAACTTCCAACTGCTCCTGCAGACAAATTGCTTGTGCAAAGCCAGCGAGAGACACTCCTCGCATATCTAGCTCAAGAGGGACATGCGCTGTGCGTTTTGCCATTGAAGAGGGATACAACTAATAAGGCTTTTGCTGCTGTGCCAGCCAGCACACGGGCGCCAGCTTTGTACAGCTTTGTACAGCGTGTCTCTCCGTTGCTCTATTCACTTTCCTGACAGATGAAACTCTCTTGAGCCAGTGGCTATCAAAGATTCTCCTTGCAATGAATGAGAACATGATGTGAAAAGTCCTATGGAGGCAGGCAGGAGGTATGC